ACTGAGAGGATTTCACTTACTGAGGTGCAATTTTCCCAGTTTTTGTTTCCTTTTCCCTTTTTAGTTCTCCGGGGTTCCGAGGTGATGTGGGTATATCCCATCCCTGCAAAAGAATCTAGTAGAAAACTGGAAGTAGACCATCTTGCAATTGAGTTAATCCTTAAAGAAGTATTTATTAGAAAATAACATTTATGTTCACACTGATGTTACACAACAGTGTTTTTAATGGGATCTCCTATAAGTGCTTTTCTGTTTTTACATTTTTGTTCAGGTCAGTTGCTCCTTGTATAGTTCTTGAGTGTTTACTGTGGAGTGTAGTGTCTCGTTATAGAGGTGAGGAATGGTGATGGGTTTGACTGGTGCACAGATGCGGAGGCTGCTCCTTTGGAGGCCATGCAGTGCGGGTTGGGATTTCAGCGTTGTTTCTCACATGCGCGTGTAGCTCCGTACCTTTTTGCATGTTGGATGTTCGGAAACAGCCATATTAACTAGTGAGATAGCTGTGGACTTTTGACCCTGTAATATTAGACCAGTCGGCTGATACCTCACTGGAAGGTTCGGTGTCCAGGGTGGAGGAATCCTGTGTAAGGGAAATGGAACACAGAAGGACGAAGCAGTCCTGAGAGTCCACCTTCTTGTCCACCACTGTGCTACACTGCGTGTCTCTGGGAATGTGTTTGTGAGAAAGTCTGTGCATGCTTTTCCTCTTCTTTTCTTCTCTCTTTTTTTAAACAAGGAGAAGGGTTTCTTTTAGAAATTATATTTCAGTGGCGCTGTCATGCCTTGCAAAGGGATGAGAGGGTATTTCAAAGATTAAGGGGGCAGATGCGCATTAACAGGAGGGAGATTCTTTAAAGGACAGAGCCCAGCACAGGCTGGGCCTCGCCTGCACATTGTGACCGCAGCTTTAATGCTGGCTCACAGCGCTGCTTGCTCAATTAGGTGGTGAGGTAGGTGTCCACTGTGCTCTGGGAGGAGGCTGTCAGGAAGGATGCTGACAGGTTCTTTGTGTTTCAGGATGACAAACTGCCTGAGGCTTCAGGCTGTGGTTTTTACCCTTGAGAGGCCCATGCTCTTGCTCTATTTACATAAACCTGCTGATTTGCTGAGGATTGAAAAGCAGAGAGGGCTTTCTTTGCCTTAAGAATCTGCCTTCATGTTTTGGCTGACTTAGTTCGCCAGCTTAGCAAATGCTCTCTGTTGTTTGCAGATGGCACAATAGATTCTTGGACGCAAAGCTATGTTGAGGTTGTGAGGAACAGCCAGAAACACCCCTGTTCAGTATCATTGCACGGATCATGGGTACAGGATTTGAGGTCGCTTAATCGTGTGATCCGTTCCCTGGCAGAGGCTCGATGTTAGAGAACAGGTCTCAACCTAGACCCGTGGTTTTATTTCCAGACACCCCTAGTAAAGAAAAAAAGGAGTTACATGTATTGTTTGAAATAATTGATATCGATGGTAATAGCCTCACTCATTTCTCTGGCGTATTTCAGCTTGCTGATTTTAAGATTAAAAAAATACGTGTATTTGCCCTGCAGCAGCCGTTTGCTCAATCTGTAAATATGTATTTTCGTATGGGTAATTTTGAAAATGTGCATCATGCACTTAATGGATTACTTCAGCTTTGCTCAGTTTTTTTCAGAACTGCTGGCTTTGTTTAAAAAAAAGGAGGGGGGCTTGCTTGCTTTGCTTTTCCTTTCTTTCTAAGAAAAAAGGTGTCTGTAGTACTTGTGTCGGCTATGGGAGATTTTTAGGTTGAGGATCATTGATTCAACTGACTGAAACCAATTTTCTAACCAGCCTCAGACGATCTATGCACTTATAAATTGCATGAAATTCTTGGCAAATCATTTTGGCTTTAAAAGATTACTGGGCATATATTCCAACTGAAAATTTAACATTGCTCTTAACTTACGTTCTCCTCTTGCCCTTGCCAAATTAAATCACTTTAGTTTTGTGCTCGCCATAAACATCTATATGAAATTATTTTCTTAAATAGCTGCTTCTTTAATGAGACAAGAGGGAAATATTTCTTATGAGTATTTGGCCTTATTTAACCTTGTTTTGAAAATCACTAAGAGTAATAATAAGTAGATTTTTTTCCCGTGAGACTTTAATTCCAGATTGTTGCTTAGGATGTACAGTTGGATCACTCTGATTTTTATGGGAGGGTAATAAAGAAAAATTTGACTCTACAATAATTTTTCATGCTTTTATTTTTAAAATGAATTTAAGTCAGGTCAAAACAATGTATTTTTCCCCATTTCTTTGGCAAGTTAGACATTGTGAAAAATTTTAATTTATATTACCCCTGATCTTAGTGATTCTGTGTTTAAGGACTACTTACATAAAATAAACTTAAATTTTGTCTTTTAATTATGAAGTGAGCTTATCTTCTTCATGTATGAGTTTCCAGATACAGATAGAGATCACTTGATACAGTGACCTGTTTTACAGATTATTATTAGTCTCTTACATATGAATTAGGATCAATAGTAGCTTTTTTTGGTAGTAGCTTTTTATGTCAATAGCTGACATAGTAGCTTTTTAAACAAAAAGAGGTGACTTTTTATCTGTTAACGAGGCATTAATAAGTAAATGTGGTAATTCCATCTGTCAGGTTTAGGGTTCTTTTCCACACCACCTTATTCCTCATGGCAGTGTTTCTCTGGTGAGCAGGCGAGAGTCTGCCTCCAACACTGCCAAGAAGCTTTTAGGCACAAGGATACCAGGGGTCGTCCTCCATGTCCCAGTATAGTCCTTTCCTCCCTCTCTGAGAGTGTTACATCCAGGTATATTTATAGATAATTATTTTCCTGATGTAACTTTGCAGTGAGAATCCTTTTCTGGAAAGTTTTTTTGTATTCAAGTTACTAGATATTTTAAGCCTCAGAGTTAGAAGGTTTATAGTTATAATGATTCTATGGATTATGAAAAGTATACTTAAAGCTTTTTTAAGGAAGGAGATGTTGCCATTTCTTTTCAGAGGAGCCATGAGCCAGTAATGGCCCTGGAGCTAACTCATGATAAAGCAGGTGCTGGTGGAATGAAGGAATTAAGGGTTTGGCATGGACAGGGTGGTGGAATTTTGGATACTGTAGCCCAGTGGAGGTTGAGATGGGGTGCGGGACCAGACCATTGTGTGCTGCACATTTTGGTCCCATGGACTTTAAGGAAGTGGAGTCATTAGTCGGGAAGTGACCCATTTGTGTTGAAGTCAGTGAGTGTATAGCCTGGTATGACAGTGTTATGAGATTTAGAAGAAAATGCTCTCTGTAGGAGGTGATAGGAAGAAGAAGGCCTCTAGACTGTGATTTGTGTTCAGGTTGAGTGAGACAGGTAAATAATTGATATCCAGAGATATGAAATACTGGTATTCTGTACATCAGGGATTGGGACACAGAAATTAAGAATTATTCCAAAATTGTGCAGATTGGAACTGCAGTTTTTTTATGTAGGGAATGTTTTTAGTTGAATACCAAATTAGGGATAAGAAGACAGATATCTACCCAAGTAGGAAGAGTTCTCTTGTTCCTTGAGATGATTGGCATGTTAAATGGATATTGCCTGAATGTTAAGCAGAGTTATTTAGCATCCTGGACCCTGGAACAAAATAGAAAGTTCTGTCAGCAGTTTATTCCTGAGCTACTGTTCTGCATGGATTCAGGGATCGAATCTTTGTTGTTGAGTCTCCATCTGAGTAGAGAAATCAGTCGGGACATTCTGGATGCCTAGATGATTGGCATTCAGATTTCTTCTTTTTCTGACTTTGGGCTACAGAAATCCTGATGTCTTTCAGAAAGTTTCTTGGAAGGAAGTATCCTTGGTGAGGGCTTTCTTCATGATCTACCTCTTAATGGCTCAGCTAGTGCTTGTGGTGGTACTGGGCTGTCCATGGGATGGATGGCTCCAAATTTCTGCTCCTTTTCTTTTTCTTGGCTCTGCGTGTTTAACATAAGGCAGTAGAGGAATCTGCTTGTATTCTTATGCATCTGAGTTATTCTAAGATTCACTTACCATGAAGGGTCATGAGGAGGGATAAAACAAATAGCATTTCGAATGTGGGTCTTATGGTTATTATCCTTAGAAAATTTGATTGACTACAGATGCATTTAGTTCTCAGTAAATAATACTTAGAGGTTCCTATTTTAAGCTTTATGATGATCTTGGGTTGCCTTGTGGAGAGTGTTAAAGTCCCTTTAAAGCCACTGCTTCTCTTAAAATCGTTGCTTCTTTAAAAAAAAAAAAATAAAAGAGCAGCCCTTTAAGACTCCAGCTGTGGAGAATGTTAGACATAATTACCCAACCATTGCCATGTCAAATGTAATTTAAGAAAGCGCTCTTAATCCCTTGAGGAAAGTGTGGTTTGGTTTACTGCATCCCTTCTCTGATTGGGTGCCTTGGTTTTCTTTATAATTAGAAAACATAAAGTGTTTAAGTTGAAATTTAATAGTAAATTATCCACAACTGGTTAGATTTCTTTCTTTTTCTTGGTTTAGGTGCAAAGGTCATTGTAACAGTATGTTCAAGCCAGTCATCTTTATATCTTTCATGGATTTCCTCACAAATTGTTTACTGAAAACAAAGAAGCACTTGGCAAACCATGTCTCTTTGTGAAGACATGGTACCATCTCTCTGAATGAGACATTCAAGATTTTGTCTTGTGTAGCTGTGATCAAGTAATTCTCTTGGTTGGATTTTCTTCCTCAAAAAATGGTTAATCCTGTTTCTTTCTCCCCCTTCTTCAGGCACCCTGGAAACAGTAATTGAGGCTTTATCAGGTTCTTTAAATTATCAGAAAAGTGGTCGATAAGACCCCAAGGGCTGTTTTCCTCTAGCTTAAACTTACTTGTAATTTACGATTCATCTTTGAAACAAATTTTCTATAAAAGATATGTACTTTGCCTTGTGTTTATTTATGAAGTGGCTTTATGGGCCCTGTCTTTGTTCCCTTAATGGTAAATATCATTGTTTTAAAATTTCTTTTTCTTTTAAAGACTGTGTGTATATCGAGAGTCGGAGGCCAAACACGCCGTATTTCATCTGTAGCATTCAAGACTTCAAACTGGTAAGCATTTTTAAATGTGCTGTTGATTCTCCTCTGTGCCTTCTTTTTTTCCAGTTGCATTCGCTGTCTCTCTCAGTTGCTTCTTGCTGGTTGTGGACTTGATAACCAGGCCACTTCCGAGTGCTCACTGCCTGGCAGCTGCACCACACGTGTAAGGCAGTTACCTGTTGTATCCTTCTGGTTTTGTAACACTTCCAAAGCTTGTACTGTGAGCAATGTTCCCAAAGTTTTCATTTTTCTAGCAATTGTTTTGACAATAATTTCAGAGATTTTCTTGAGTTTCTGAAGTAGTTTGTTTCTTCTCAGCCATCGTGAAGAGCCTGAAGTAAAGTAGATTTGGGAATTGGTGGTGAGTTGGAAGAAAAGAATATTAACGCGCCAGAGACTAGTTTTTGGTGGCAACTATCATTTCCTTAGAGATTTTAGTGAGTATGGAGTGTATCTTGGGGTCACCTGGTGATGGAGTTTGGGGAAAGGAACTCTGGCTTGGGGATAGCACGGCTACTGTACTTCTTATTACAAACCAGCCCCAAATTTAGAGGTGTTGATACTGCCCCTTAGGCAATCTCTGGGTTTTAGACTGGTGATTCCCACACTTGGGACTTTGGATCCCTGGATATCTGTAGAGATTTTACAAAGGTCTGCAAATAAACATTCTTAGTCTAAAATATGCCTCTCCTGTGTTTGTACAACTACTTTTCAAATATATTAATATGCTGGCGTGCTTTTAAAAATTCACTTAATATTTAATGACAGTACACAGTTAAGAATCAGCTTATTACATATTTTCCTCAAATAACTGCTGTGTGAAATACTGTCAGAGTACTGCCATTTGGGGGATCTTTTAAAACATTAAAGAGGGATCTTTGTACTTGAAGGTTGTGAACTGCTGTCTCCCTTCTTAGGTATAGAGAAATCCCAATTCTTTAGCTCGGTAGAGGTATGTATAAGTCTCTGTGAATGTTTTTTTCCAAAACCCTTTGTAACTTGACAATATCTGTATTCTCACATTCTGTATGTGATACTTCAGTCTAAAGAAAGGTAATGTAGTAGGGAGAGAACTTTAATTCTGCATCTCCTTTGTTTCTTTTTATCATTTTTAATGACCCCAAATACCCAATTAGTATATTCCAAGTTAGCTAGTTCAAAAAAATTGCATGCCACTTATTTTTCCTTACTAAAGTTTTGTTGCATTAAGTAACACATGCTTACTGTTTTAAAAGAGAGTCAAAAGTGCCATTTACTTCTAAGATTTATTTATTCTTGGTAGGCTGCTTTTAAGTTCCCTGCTTGTTTTACAAGGAGGTCTTGAAGTGTAATTTTGTAAATCAAACGCTTTCTGTTCCCATTTTATGTCAACATGAAGTTTTGCCATTTTTAGAGGTCTTTGCTATTTATTAAATATTTTTTTTCAGAGATATCTTTTTGCAGATGCTGCACTGACATCTGAAAATCTGGGCAGTGGTCTTCCTGATGAATTTTCTTTTGCTTGCAGCAACTGCTACTTCTCTGTCCCTGCTTATCCTTTTTGTGTGTGATTTTTTTTTTTTTTTAAACCAAACATAATACCAGTGCACCATGGAAAAGACATACTTGTGAAGTAAAATTGCAAAGGTTTTTTTTTTTTTAACCTATTAGATTCAGACCCCTTTTTGTACAATTTTAGCACATTAGCAGGTACCTTCATGTTTGAACAGCTTTTCTTATGAAATGCTGATTACAATGTGATAGTTGCTGTTTGGGGCAGAGGTTCCTGCTGAGTTACAGTAATTGCTCAGTGTATTAACAGCAATAAAAGCTGAAGCTTCTGTCGTCAGCATTGGTCTGGTACAACACATTAAAGCTGTCTGCAAACACAGTGTGGGGAGTGGGCGCGGTATGTAAGTTGTACACTGCTATGTCTCTTGTTTTTGTTGAGTTCTGTATTCAGCACATGATTGTAGTTGTTGTGTAAGAATATTTACTGAAGAAAGAATGCAGTTATTGTCTGGATACCCACTTTCTTCTTTTCTTGATTGCAATTTTACTTACGAAAAGATAGCTTAATAGATGAGAATAATCATAGCTTTTTTTCCCTTCAGCTTACCCAGGCTATAAGGGAAAAAGATGAACAGAAGGAAATATGCTTAGTTTCTCTGCAAGATTTTAAAAAGAAGAAATTGGAGTTGGTTTTGCCCACAGCAGATACCATGCATGGCAAGTGGAGCAGTAGAAAACAAAAACACAATAGCTTTGAAATGTTGTTGACTAATTGTATATCTTTTTAAGCTTTTCTGGTTTGGGGTTGTAACTGAGAGCTGTGTTCCTTTGTTTACACCATGAATTAGAATGACCCCTTACCTTGGTGAGTTTTTGAACATATGGTATATTTGGGACTGTAAAAACTGGGCAAATGCCCTTATGGTACATATTAAGTAAGATTACAGTGTTAGACACGATGGAAGTTAAGGAATTGAGAAGCGGGCATAAGGAAACATCTATGACCAGTAACCCAAACTAGCATAATGCCAATTTGTTGAACTGAGGACCCTGGGTAACATTCCAGGAACTAGTTCCGTGAGAGATAAGAAGGGTCTTCGGATTTTATGTGGGGACCTGGGTTGTCTTCTAGATTCTGCTACTATGTACATCCCATAGAGTCGGAGTCCGTGATTTGGAATATAGTTGTCTCTGTGTGCAGGATTATACTACACCTGGCAAACTGTTACATAGTGTCCCCTTTTGCTTTCAAAGTTATCCTTGTTGTGGATGATAGTTTATTTGGTCATCTTGCCTATGGGAATGGGATCCACGGCTTCTGCTTTGTTAACATTTAACCATCGAAATATGTAAGGCCACAGTCACGGGTACATGGGTAGATGTGTTTAGAGCCCGCACTTTCACAGGCATAGGCAGAAGCTGTGGTGGAGCAAAGTGACTGAGCTCCTGGCAGAGCAGAGGCTGCTTTTGAAAGTAGCATTTTCACAGGAAGCAAATTATGTGTTCTGTTAGGAAGCTTTCATCCTTTTAGGGAGTGTTAATTTCATCAGGCTTATTTACAGACTAGGAGACCAAACTGGATGTGTTTGACTACAATGACAGAAGTATCTGTGGCACAGGTAGGTAGTCAAAGCAGGGGCTCAAAGAGACAGGAGAGGTGAGGTGGGATTATGGGTAGTGTGTGCTTAGGAGTAGGAATAAGGAGGGATCGGCAATTAAATAAGGCAGCTTTGTACCGTAGGCTTCTGAACTAAATAATAAGGCAGCCGGCACAATCTTTATCTTTTTGAAAGAGTAGTAATATGGAATGGCCATCTATGATCTTTGTGGCGTTTCTTGAAAAGATAATTGAGAGACTGAAGCAGTTAGCTGAGGGGGGAAACCCGGAAGGATGAATCAAGAGTCCGGGTCGGCAAACATGAACAGGTCACAGGCAAGCTGACGTTGCAGGGCAGGAAGCCAGGAAGAACAGAGGATCAGGGCACCTGCGCAGAGAGCAGTAGATGGCCAGCAGGAATGAGGGCATGCCTTCTCCCTGAGCTCTCGGGAGGCCTGCTGTCTTAATGCTTCTTCCCTTGGGATTCTTGGATTATCCTTGTTTCTGCTCAGTAAAGGCCTCTCTTCTTGGGCCAGCTTGAGTGGATCTCCATTAATTAACTGGAAGGGGCTCATATAACGTCTTCAACCCTTTCCCTTGCTGCACTCCCTTAGCTTTCCTAGGTCAGTGTGTGGTGTGACTTAATTTGCTTTCGGAGTCCTGTTCCTGAGTGAGTCGGAATCACCGTATCACCAAGAAGCAATATATTCCTGTGTGCAGTGAGGAATGTTTTCGGTGGTAATCAATGTCTTCTGTTTTTTTGTTTTTTAAATATTTTATTTATTTATTTGATACAGAGAGAGGCAGGCAAAGCGAGAGGGGGGAAGCAAGCTCCCCGCCGAGCAGAGAGCCTGATGCGTGGCTCAATCCGAGGACCCTGAGACCATGACCTGAGCCGAAGGCAGAGGCTTAACCCACTGAGCCACCCAGGCGCCCCTAATCAATGTCTTCTGTAGGCATTTAACAAAAGCCTACTCTGTGTGCTTTGTTGGGTGCAGCACCTTGAAAGAAACGGAAGTCTGCAGGGTAAAGTTCCTTCCTTCAGTGACCTTAGTTTCTAATGGGACAGACATCTGTGGCATTACTGGATGTCCGTCCATTCTCTTTGGAGAACACTCTGAGTAGGATCAATGTGAAGGAAGCCATTCACCTTTTGTCCCAAAAGAAAGATTTCTTTCTTGCTTTTACTGTAAAAAATCAGTAAAATTCCATTTTTATAGAAATCTAGGCCTTCAGCGTATAATGGAGTGAATTTGCTCTCTAGAAATAATCGTAAAGTCTGAAAATGCTTTTTGCAAGATTGTTTAGTGATTTTCGTGTAGTAAAACACCGAGGAGTACCTTGTTTGGCTCTGGTAGTAGTACTTCATATCTAATTCTTCAGTCACAGATAAGTAATTGAAGCCCTTCCTTTTAATATTCTACATGGGCATTCTTTGTGGATTTCCAATGAGTTCCTATCATTCATACAATAGAAAAAAAATAAGATTTTGGTTTCCTGGAGTTATATAGTTATTGATTCTTTAACTTATATGAAATGAATTTCTAGGTAGGGTATGTAATTATTACAAATATTATTTTGAGCAAATACCATTCATCTTGGCTCCAGTTTGGTTTACTAAAGTGGAAAAGTTGTTGTTAAAATTAAACCTGATCTTAGAGATTCCCTGAAGTTGGGGATATATCATTAGGGATATTATGGTATTTTTAGTTGACTGTTCAGGGCTCAGTGAGTTGTTAGGACTCTGCATGGATAACTGTGCTTTTGTATCATTTATGTCCCTGACAGCATACATTGTAAGTGTTGGTTGTGAATGTGGGGTAGCTGAGACTGCATAGTACCACTAGTTACCTTGACAGAGGTACATCTCCAGTACTGCTGTGAACATGGGGGCCACGTTATTCAAGATTGAACACCATCTCCCTCTTGGTTTCATTGCCAAATGTGAGCAGCCAAGGGAGGAACATTTGGAATTTCAGATTCCCGGTCTGCATCTATAACCCTGCCCCAAAAGGTGATTGCCACAGTACAACAGAGAGGGGCTGCAGAGAAATTAGCTCCCGTGCAGCTTCCGTGCACCGTTGACGTTGTCCCCTCTCCACCAAATCAAGTTTCTCTGAAGTAGATTAAAAGCAAGAAGGTGCTCTTCCATCTTTAAAATGAAAACTTACTAAGGATAAGTAATTTTATCTTCTCATTTTTGGTTAGAGACCTTTACATAGATAACGCTAGGGGATATGGGATAGTTTGTTAATATGCACTGTGTACACACTTCTGTGTGTACACACGAGTTAATTATCATTCCTGTATCACATGCCACAATTATTTAATCCTGCCTTGGCTGCTGTGACCATTCAGCACAGAATATATGTTGTATAGACATTCAGGAAGTGGGCATTCATTTTAGGTAAATCTTGTATTAACTTTCCTGGGGATGGGACAGGAGGTCTACATTAGTGTGAGTATGGCTCTTTCAGAATTTGAGGTGTTACTTGGGGACTGAGAGGAGAGATGGTAGGATGCAGAGTGCATGTGTTGAGAGCTTGACTTTGACATCAGCTGGTCTGTTCTTGAGTTGCTCTCCTAACATTTTATTTACAGATGAGGCTAGGGTATAAATAAACCTACCTTGCAGGTAGGCGGTTTTTAGATGAAAAGATCAAGCCTACAAAGTGGATGATAGTGCCTGGGCCATGGAATGACATGGTAGCAATGTCGATGTTTAATTGGTGCTCTAGATCTAAGTTTTTGTAGGGGCAGACACTATGCCTGTGTTACTCATTGATGTATACTGTGTGCTCAGCTCATTGCCTGGCCCATAGAACATCCGCGATAAATGTTTATTAAAGTGGAAAAAATTCACTGCATGAAGATTTAGAAAAACTTTAGTAGTAATTTGATACGATGCATTGACTACAAATTAACCTTCTGTTTATTAAGCAAACCAAAAAGACCTGTTTCTTTACCTTTAGTTTACAATACGTAGTATTTTGGTAGCCTGCAGTGTGTAGTATTTTATTTATTTATTTATTTATTAAAAAAAAAGATTTTATTTACTTATTTGACAGACCAAGATCACAAGTAGGCAGAGAGGCAGGCAGAGAGAGAGGACGAAGCAGGCTCCCTGCTGAGCAGAGAGCCCAATGCGGGGCTTGATCCCAGGACCCTGGGATCATGACCTGAGCCGAAGGTAGAGGCTTAACCCACTGAGCCACCCAGGCGCCCCGTATTTTGTATATTTAAATAATTTATTCTTAAAATATGTTAAAACTCAATTTCTTATTTTCTTAAGGAAATTTACATGAGTAATGCCAAAGTCATAATATTTTTTAGGCATCATAATCTATTTTGAATTTTTGATATTACTGACTTTTAGCAAAGACAAATGAGGGCTTAGTCTATAGATAAGCATTCCTGAGAAGGCCAGGGGATAGGAAAAATGCCTTATGGTGTGATGGTTCATTTTTGTATAAAAAGTGGCTGTTTTTCTCTTCTTGATAGTCCCTCAAGTTAGGCCTGCAGAATTGAACATTTTTCTCCATACTTCCCTTTTCTCTTTCTAGTTCATTTCCTGGGAAAAGGTCAGTACCACCCACACACAGCTTTTGCGACTTGGAGGGTAGTGTTGGATAATGAAGTGAAACCCATGAAATTAATTATCAACTGTTTTTAGTTTGTAGAGTGAAGAATTAAATATTACTTAGAGACATAGTGGAAGGTACAGTTGAAATAATTCTTTCAGAGGAGTTCCTGTCCGCTAGTTTAGCTGTTCTCTCACGTTAGGAGTGAGTATGTCACTGTGGCCCCACTCTTCTTACATGGTGATTTCTAAGTCAAGAAAAGGTACACATTCTTGATCTGCTGCTTCTGAAGGCCACACTTTTTTTCTCCTTTTGTTTAAAGTAAAGGCCATGGTTGCTTAGTTGCTATCTATAAGCATTATAATAAACTATAATGGGGTATTGGACTTACTCCCGATTGTTTGTTTGGAGTAAGCCACGAATAATAAATATATGTGGTGAGACCACATGTCCTTTTCACATGTAAATGTGAAGCTTAAAATTTTATTTAATCCTTTACGAAGCAAGAGGGGGGATGAAATCCTTGGCCCCAAGTTTAATGGACAAAATGTTGTTAGATATTTCTCCTTCCGGTTACGGGGCAATCATGTTGAAAGTTACTTTGAATCACCATCACCTTTTTGCAGGATATGAATGTCAGCTTATGAATGGAGGGGATGGTATTCACAGAAGTGAAAATCACAGTGAGGCTTTGGGAATAAATAATCTCATAGCATCTTACTGGCCCCATTTTCTCAGCTTCTCAGCAGGCTGTTTTCACTCATGACCGACAGTCGTTATAGGCCACATGGGATTTAAAGTTTTAATGGTTCACAATTATTCTAAAGTTGGGTAATTCATTTTCTCCTGGTTTATTTGGATTTTAGAACTAAGAAAAGAGTTTTAATTTTACTATTCTATAAAATATGTATCTAAAAATGTTTAATAAACCTGTTCTATGTGAAATGTTTTCAATGTGGAAAACTTTAGGCATTCTCATCTTTTCTTAAAAAGGAGCCTAAGAAAAGTTTGAGACAATTTGATATTGCAGAGAGCTGCTGTGCAAGAATATTGGTCAAGTCTTAGTGTTCAAATGTGATTCCTTAGAACTGGACAAGTAAAACCCATTAGAAGAACTGAAGAAAATCAGGGAAACAGATACTGTCCATGCTTTCTGATTCATAAATAAGAACAGTGATATGCTTTAAAATGTATTTTTTAATATTTAAAATGTTTTAATAATTATTTGAACTTTTGCATATTTAAAATAATGCCAAGGTGCTTTGAAATGCCTTACTAGGTGTCGACTTGGTTTAAAACTTTGAATTTGAATGAATAAGGATTTGCATGATCTGATTGATTAATGAATTCTAGTACAAACAGTTAACGAGCAATTCATTTTTATTGGATGATTATGGTATATTGTACATTCTGGTACACAGTTGAACGTTTGATTTGTCTGCAGAGCTGGTATGGGGAGGAGGGGAGGTGCGGTGGGGAAGGTTATGTTGCAAACAATATTGGTGTTATCATGTGAGGCAGTGGGAGTCAGAGACTGACCGCACAGGAAGTGTCCTGTGTGGTGCCCAGCGTACTCTAGAGCGCGATCTGTACCAAAAGGAAAGAAAACCATCATGATGAACACATTCCCAGTATTGGCTTATTTTCTTGGGATTCATGTTCTTGTTTGTTTTAAAGGAGACATAGAAAAACAGGTCATTAATGGAGGATATGAAAATCTTGGATCACAGGAGGTTGTTAGTGATTCTAAAGAACTGAATGTAATAAGGCTCCCTAAAAATGGTTTAATATTAAAAAGTTTTTCTGTCATTTGTAAACACCTTTAAGAGCAGAGATTCTTATATAAGTATCTGATTTTATGGAGTTTTTAGTTCATTTAAAACCACACAAAATTGGATTGGTTAGTTTTTTGGAAGTGTTATATACTCTCTAGAATATTTGAAAGGGAACACGCTCAAACAGTTATTTGAGGTATCTTTTTTTGATGCTCACAAGGACGGTGCTGACTTTCAGGAGTTGCTCTATAATTGGCTGCTGCTTTTAAATGTCTTCAAAGTTTAAAAGAAAAATAAAATAGATGTGTGTTACATACCAGAACTGGTTTTGCCCCTAAAAGAAATAATGCCTTTCTTGAGCTTTACGTTTTGTTCAGGTGGGCGTTTGTGAGAAAATTAAAACTCATTTGAATGGTGTCCTTTTTCCCTCTGGTATTAAGCCTTTGTCTTTTACTTCTAGCTTTATAAAATTAAACCAGGACTTTGAGAATCATAAGGTCTTTCTTTGACCTGCTAATGTCTTGAATATTTCCTTATTAAGTATCTGTCTTATGCCCCTAGCATCTCACATTGGAAACTCTTCTGAAAGCTCAGTTTCTTCACTTGTGGTTCATTTTATAGTTGTGTTTATCTGACACCGTTGCTTTTTTGTTTTTTAATCTAAGCAAAGCATGCCATTGTCACTGTGCGTTGGCACTGTGTCGCATCTTAACCTGGTTATTTTGGGGGCACACACCATACTGCTTTTCAACAGGACCCAGATTCCATTGTGGAGCCAGAAGGGTCATAGGTTTGTTCTTACTGAAACAAGCAACAGCTCTGATTGACGCAGAAAGGCTAACTTCAGCGGTAGAATAAATTCTCTGAGAGGCCATCTGCTAAAGGATGGTGCAGATTCCTGCTTGTGTGCTGCGTGCCCCTAGTAACCAGGGCCGGAGGGGACATTGGGCATGCTAACTGAAAGCTCTTTTCTTTTTTAGGTCCACAACTCCCAGGCCTGCTGCAGATCTCCAACTCCTGCTTTGTGTGACCCCCCAGCATGCTCTCTGCCGGTGGCATCACAGCCACCACAACATCTTTCTGAAGCCGGGAGAGGGCCTGTAGGGGTAAGGAGAATCCCGTTTTTAAAAGCTATCAATATTTTATATCCCTTAGGGTATAAAATAGGAATATTACCTCCCTCCCCAGAGCCCCTTTAAAAATGTGCTGTATTGTATGTGTTTTTAAAGGAGTAACAAGTACATGCACAGAGGAAGCAAAATACGGGACTTGCCTTACCCCTCTAGGACAGTTCCAGAAGTCAGCGGGGTTTGGTGGTGTGGGGTATTTGGGTGCCAGCAGAGAGCATGCTGGGCCGCTGCAAGGAGCAGGAGCTGGCAATCAGCAGCGAGTATGGATGTTGGCAACTGAAAGGGGAAAAAAGGGGGTAAGTTTGAGTCCACATGTGGAACGCGCACTTCCCCAGCATCGTTGGGACTCAGGGCCCACGAATCTAAACTATTTTGGATGCTGTCCTCTCAGGTGATATTCTATAGAATATTGCTGAGGAGGAGTAGTGAGGCTTTTCTGCAATGCCAGATACAGAATTAAACACTTCCAAAGTCTTGAGTTAGGGCGTAGATCTGGTGCTCTCAGCTGTGCCCTGCGAACGTCTCTGGTACCTGGTGGCAATGACACGTGTGAGATGCTGCAGGAGAAAGTGTCCGTGGTGCTCTGTTCCCAGAACACAGGGCCTGGCGTTAGTGATCGGTGGGTTATTTGTAGGATGTATCTCACCTTTTATGAAAGTTGTATATACACCTTTCTTCCTTTTTTTCCCTCTTTGTAAGGATTTAATGAGAACATTTCCTGAAAGACAGGTGTTTATTATTCTGATTGACTGCTGTTAATCGTGAAAGAAGGGCGAGGACCTGTCTTTCTCTTTTGTATGTAACCTGACTGTGGGGTTCAAATCCATACTCAATTACAAAATAACACGAGGGAGTAGCCCTCACGTATGCATGTGCATAATACAGGATACTGGTAATATATAATGAGTTGTTTAATTGCAGTGTAGAAAAATAGTATCTTAAAACTAGGAGAAGAGAGTGCTGCAAATGGGCTCTTGCACTTGGGAAAGTTTTGGGAAGGTAGGCAGGTTTTGAGGAGCTGGGTTTGTTTTTGATACCTCAGTAACATGTGGACAGGCAGACTGGAGGAGCCTTCCAGGTGTACGAGTCAGCTTGTCGCTGTAAGCCACGTAGGCAGTGGGCCTGGTGAAGCTGGGAATTGAGAGAAGATGACCGCAGGACGTCTGTGAACAGCACAGGTTAGTGAGTTGTGGGAGCAGAGGTGGGATGTAATGTGGGGCCAGATCATAGAGCATTGTAAAGGTGAGAACAGGGAAGATTTTATGTGATAGGCAGAAGAGAAGCCTTTTAGGCTTTTTTATTCCAGGCAAGCTGATATGCAAATACCTGCTTACGAAGATGGATTGGGTAGCTGGTTGGAGCCAGACTGCGGGAGCTCCAGTTAGGTGGTGAGGGCTGTCACCCATGCGTAAAGTGAAGAGGACCAGGGCAATGGAGATGTCGGATATTAGTAATCGTAAGCAAAGCTAGGATAATCATCACAACAATAATTTCATGTTCAAATAGTTTCTGGTGTAATTTATCAAGAATTAGACCAGAAAAAATGTTCACACTGTGGAATCCTTGGAATTCTTGATATAATAATCATTCACAATGGAAGATAAGACCCAACGTAGTGGATAAAAGTCTATTTTTAATCTCTGGAGAGATGCACTGACATCATAAAGGCCAAATTAGCAGATTCCCAGCTTGACCATCTACTTTAAAAATTTCAGCCTTTACCAGTTGTCTTCTTGTTTCCGTATGTATCTAAGAAATGATTTTATCTTTCAGGCTGGCATTTTCTCACTTTATTCTCCATTTAGTGTGGGTGTCATTGTTAGACTGTCATTTACCACAGTATTCACTAATCAGGATTTGTTGAATGGACTTAAAATTCTGCTCATAAGAACAATGATTTTTAGTAAACTTTTTGTATTAGTGTTAGTGATGACCAGTATTTGTTTATGTATTTATTTACAGCAGTAAAAAGTATTGTGTTCAGTGGGGTAAGTAAATTCATGATTGGTGGCATATTTAGGTACCATCATGTGTAGGTTTAAGAAGATCCTATAATAAGATAATAAATCTGTGAGTCAAGATGATGCTGCATAAACCAGACTGTGTTGATTGTTCTTTAACGACGCTGCTTGCTGCCACAGTCGTTTGAGCTGGACCTGAATCCGATCCAGTTGGCAAAGCTACCCCCACGTGTGGAGCTCTCCTAAATTCTGCAGGCACACAGATCTAATACAGTGCAATGAGAGAGCTGCTGGGAGACAAAAATTGATTACAGGGTTGCAGACAATATCATTACCAGTTCTTGCCATGATACACCAGATGTCTTCTCTAATAGACTATTTTTGTTAATTTAGTTTTTATAGGGTAGTGCTAACTGCGTCATAATTTAACTTTCTTTGTATATTCAGGTATATGTGATCTGTGTTTCTACACTGATGATGATCTCAACTCCAGTTTAATCTTATAAATTTTTAACTTACCTGTTCATATTTAAAGTATTTGTGCTGGAAAGGCAACCTTTTTACTTTCGGAGAATCTATTAGCTTGTTTTTTTTGTTTGTTCGTTTTTTATTTATTTATTTATTTATTTATTTATTTATTGTTTTTTGTTTTTTAAGCAAGAAGTGCTGTGTTTGCTGGCAATTCAGGGGTAGTGAGGGAGGTGGGAAGGCAGAGAAAACATTTCCCAGAGCCTCCCTAGACTGGGCAAAGATGATCCCCTCCGGGCACCCCCCCACCCCAGTAGTGGATGGTTTCAGTGGCAAGGACAGATTCTGTCCAAAGCAGAAAAGTACAGCTATTTAAAGGAGACTTAAAAATGCTTGCTTATTTTCTTTGTCACGGACGCCGCTGTGCAGGCTGGAACTCTCGTTGGCGGGCACCTGACTCCTTCCTCACTAGGAGATGAACGGTTTGACTAATTTGTTTAGTATTTTTTTTAAAAGATTTTTATTTATTTATTTGACAGACAGAGATCACAAGTAGTCAGAGAGGCAGGCAGAGAGAGAGGAGGAAGCAGGCTCACCATTGAGCAGAGAGCCCAGTGTGGGGCTGCATCCCAGGACCCTGAGATCATGACCTGAGTCGAAGGCAGAGGCTTAACCCACTGAACCACCCAGGCGCCCCAATTTGTTTAGTATTTTTATTTTGTAATTGTATGTTTTTTGCATGTTTAAGATCTCTGTTGAGTGACTAACACAAATAAATAAAACAGGACTTTAGTAATAGTGGAACAAACTTTTATTTCTGTCTTTTTTTTTTTTTTTTTGAGCTACTGGTTTTGTTTTTGGTGCATTCTTTAGAGTGCATGTTTCACTCATGATGTGTTCCTTTATAACAGGGGACGTGTTAATTAACGTTTTTAACACTTAGTTTTCTCACTTATAAAATGGGCACAGCACTACTGTCAACCCCAAGGGTTGTTGCAAAGCGTAATGAAATAATTCATTGAATTGCTTAACATGGTATTAAGCATATAATAAGCATTCATTAAGTGTTATCTGTTGTCTTATAGTTTTTCATTGTACCAACTCATGTTTTAAATAATTTATTAGTATTCTAGACATTCTTGTTCTGAGGTCCATAGGGTCGGAGGACTCTGAGTTTAACAGGGTCTGTGAACTTCTTAAATTTCTTGCAGAGTCTTAAATGTATGTGAATTTTTCTGGAGAAAGTATTTGTTTCAACCATGGGTGCTAATCAGTAGATTCCTATAAATGTTGAAAAAAAAATCTAAATTAAGATTAGAAACTGTGTCTCTATAAAGTCTCTGCAGTGTGTCATTTAAAACCTCCAATCAGGGGCGCCTGGGTGGCTCAGTAGGTTAAAGCTTCTGCCTTCAGCTCAGGTCATGATCTCAGGTTCCTGGGATCGAGCCCAGCATCGGGGGGGGGGGGGCTCTGCTCAGCAGGGAGCCTGCTTCCTCCTCTCTCTGCCTGCCTCTCTGCCTACTTGTGATCTCTGTCTGTCAAATAAATAAATAAATTCTTAAAAAAAAAAAAAACACCTCAAATCCGCTAGCTGTTTGTTAAGGAAGTAAACTAACATTGAGCATTTACTTTGTGTCCAGTCACCGTGCTACTCTTTTCACATAGTTTAATTTGTGATATTTATTTCATTTTGCAGATGAGAAAATTTGAGGTTTATAATTATATAAAATCTTGCCTTGAGTGAATGTCAGGACTGAGGTTTAACTCGGGACCTCACCTTGGCCCTTGTGTAGTCTCTGCTGCTCTCACGGCGGACTTCTGCACCTCCTGGGTGGTCCCTGCAGCGAGGCCCACCTTTGCCTTCACTTTACTTGAAGAGCTCCTGAGCTGGCGTGCTGCTCACTTGCTTGCTAGAGCGGACGGCTTCTGCCCCTGAGAGCGGCCCAGGCCGGCGCTCACCCTGACTGAATGGACGGTGTTGGTGGCAGCATCGTGGGAGAAGCCTTGGTATCCGTCCATTTTGTTTTCGCGTTAGCTCTGTGGTGATCATCTTTTTAGTGGCCTTTTGTTTACAAATGCATGATTAGTCAACAGCTGCTCTTTGGGTTTCCTTTTTATTTAATGACATCTACATACATTTGAAAAATAACTGCTGTAGTCCGTTGTGTTTGTTAATCTGTGTGTGTGTTTCAGGTAGAACTTCATACACGTAAGAAATTGGGCTTTGCATTTCCCTTGGAGTAAATCCGCTCCACGGAAGTGCCCAAGCCTGCTCCACTAACACAGAGCTGGGAGCGAGTGTCCTGTGGCTTTCCCCAGATCCCTGCTTCAGGAGGGGCTGCCTAGGCCAGAATCTGGGTCTCCTGTGTCTCTGGTCAGTGAGTGCTCTTTCCACTGCTCCTTGCTACCTACCTCAACTCTTAAAGGATGTCTTGTAGCCGGCCTATGCCATACATCATTTACTTCTTTAAAAGCTAAGAATGCTTTGCTTAATATCTACTTTAAACTTTGGTGACTGTAACTCCTACCAATGTTAAGATAGTATTT